TTTTTCCATCACATATAAAATATAGATGTAAAACAGCAGGGAATCAGGTTGTCTGTGATAACAGCCTGCATGAAATAAAGGCTTTTCTTTCTTCACTGAAAATAAATGCAAAGGAAATTGTGTATCATTTATTCACTCTTTCCTGTAATATCTAACTGGTTGCTACATTCCAGCTACACCATTGCCACTTCCTGTCTTTGTCTATGCCCATCAAGTATATTTGCAGTAGTATTTTCATGCATCCTGCATTATGCATATTCCATATCCCATGGTTAGCTCCTCAGGGGCTTGAATCCTGCTGAACCTTTTGGACACTGTTGCTGCTTCATATGAAGAGCCCCCAGAGAGCAGATCCTACACCCACAAATACAACCGTATAACTATTTGTGCAATTATGCTTTTGCCATTAGTGAGCAAAAACAGAGTAAACATGAGAGCTGCTTTGTAGAGCTGAGTTCAATAGCTGTGGGAGATAATTTGTGTTAATCAGCTTGAAATACAGCAGCACATGAAACATGTACAAATCAGTCAGTAAAGGCAGGAAAGTTGTTTTTCACATAGAAGTGCAACTCCAAACAATATAGCACTCAGAAAAAAAACAACCCCTGTCACCAGGCAAGCAAAGAAGGTTTCAAACCTTAGAAAGAATGAGCAAATATTATCTGGCCTAGTTCTGCTCAGTAGGAAATTATCTCGATATTATACAGAGCTGATTTGGCTTTATCCTGCTAGCTACAGCTCTGTCCGTGTAGACTTAATTAAACTTTTCAGCGAGATGTCCTCCTGGAGTTATGCTGCAATGGTCTGGCTTCCTCTCTATTAAGTCAGATTTATGGCTGCTATAGTTCAGGGAAAAGATTGAATGAAAGGGTAAAATTTTGCCCCTGTTTTTTTTTTTTTTTTAACTACATTTATTGGGAGGTCGGCATTTTATTTCAGCAGTCAAGCCCTGCCTCTCTGTAATCTAACTTCCATACCATTACACCTTTGGGCCGACCACTATGTTCTTAGCTTTTTGCAGCAGCCGCTGAGCAGCTTCACAGGGATGTTTCAGGCTTTAGTGCCCTCCTGAAGAGCAAATTGAGTGCAGGACTTGCAGGAGAGACAAGCACACTTTAGACACTGTGTGTCTCTTTGACCATGGTTGAAAAAACCTGCAGTAAGTACGAATCAAACAGCCTTCAGGAAGAGATGACGTCTGCTCCTTAAAGACGACAAGAAAATAGAGATAGAGAGAAATCTGCGTGTTTAGTTATGCTGATCACAGGCGCCCTTCAAAACGTCCAAGCTCTCGGTGTGATTAGAGAGGCTGCAGATAAAGACAACAACAAAGACTAAACGGTGATGAAAAGAGGAGTGAGGGAGGAACAGGAGGACAAATGTGGGGAATATTGCAAAAATGAAAGTGTTTGAGCTGAATGAAAAGAGGCGTGGAGCAAAGATGGGTAAAAACAAGAGGAAAATAAGCAAAGAAAGGCAACAAAAGTCTCTCAAATTACAGCATGATTTGGTGTGACATTTGCAGAAACTTAACATTCATGCCGGTATGACGACAGTACAACCTGCCGCGGATGAGTGCAGCGATGTAACAAATTGCCGAAGACAGTAATGCAATGAGGAGAACGAAAATGGAATCTATGAAAGTATGTCTGAAAATTAAATAAAATAATTAAATCAAAATAATGACTGTGCATTTACCATCTCTGCGGTCGGGGTGGGAGGAGGTGGTTGATGTTTCTCGTTTTAAAAATGTGCTCTGTTATGGAGGTTTTCAAATCAATTCAGATAATAGCTTCATCCAATTTTGCATAAATTGGAATGGCATTAGAGAAAACTGTTAGTGTAATGAAATCACATTTTTACTCAAATTTTGATGACTGCCATGCTTCAGTTTTGCACTAATTGAAGGATTACATTGTCCTCTGTAATTCTTCTTTCTGACGAGGTTAGGCGACCCCTTAAAAACCCTGTTGTTCAATTAAAACACAATGCTTGTGCTTTTAGTTCCCAAAAGAGCTGACTTTTTTTTTTTTTTTTTTCAGGCAGTAGTCAATGAAAAGTAGACATTTTCAAAACTTAAACTAACAATCATGCACTGTATTAGGAACCTGCTGGTTGGATGCATGTCCACAGGAATGTGTGTGGGTGTGTGCAGTGATGGGTGGAGAAGCAGGTAAATTAATATAACAGATGGTTTGAGGTATATTGCAAGAAACGATTGTGAAAGGTCAGAGGACAGGGTTTGACATTTACCGACAAACACGTTTTATTGCTAGCAACGCACAAACACGTGCGTGCGCACACACAAAGGACAGCTGGTTTTTATCCTTGATGACTTCTTGACAGTTGTGCAGGAATGATGGGGAGCTACAGACATTCACTGTTTGTCTGCTGCTCAAATCTACTTTCGATCAAACATTTCTTATTGGGATTTGCGCGAGGATTTCGAGATCCGCGACTTAAGATGCAACACGCACTCAATTTCTTTCTTTCACACACACACACACACACACACACACACACACACACACACGGGCTGGCAGAGCTCCAACTTCATTACAACAGCACTCTGGCAGACTGATTGAGTGATCAAAACTAATCGCATTTAATCATATCTAATCATATGTAATAACCAACACTGAGTGCTCAGGCATGACAACACTCTCCACTCTCTCTCCATCTCCCCTTTTCCTCTCCTCGCCTCCTCCAGATTTAACCTCCCCACACCCCACCCCATCACACACAAACACGCAACTCCTCCCTTGTCTTCCATATTTACCCTCAGTCGAAAACAAAACTGATCATGTGTGAGCGACGGAGGAGAGCCCGCTGGAAGGAGGGTATCAAAAAGAGGTGAAAAAGACAAATAAAAGACAGCGTGACAGATGGACACCCTCAGTAGAACATCGAGCCCTGCAGACTTTTTTTATTTATTTATTTTTTTACCTTTTTACAACATTGAATGATTAAGGAAGGAACAAGCTGCTCTTCCTTCCGACTCCACTGTGTGACTAACAGCTTTGTCAGAAACAACTTGAAGAGGATGATCCGGCAGTCACGGGGCTACGTTTCCAACATTATCGCCTCTCTTCCCATTTATATTCAATACACAGTTTTAAAAAGCTGCAGCCTCTTTGGCGATTTCTTCCAGTGTTTTTCCTTGCTTTGATCAGATTTCGAAGTCCCACTGAGATGTTTCTTTACACAACAGTAATGATAATGCAGCGTGATAACTGGGACTGGTAGGGATTTAAGTAGGCTGCACACCCAGTGTAAATGTGCTTGTGGTATGAATTTATAGCTGTCACATGGGATGTTTCGAGGGCTCATCTGATGAAGTTGAGGCTGTGAGATGCTGTAGTTTTGTATGCCTGGTTGTGGAAAGTAGAAATATAAAAACACAAAGTCACTTTTGCGTGACCTTAAAATACACAATCCCCTTTTGTTTCCCTATTTCTCCACCCTGTTTCCAAACCTAATCTTTATTAAAGTTCAGGCCTTCTCTGAGAGAAGCAAAGAGAGCTCTTGAGGAAAACAAACTGCTTTCCCCTTGCACCTGAATTGTCCCTTTTAAGGCGTTATTATGCTTCAAATGAAGTGCTTGTCGGATGGTCAAACAGCATGTGAAACACCCATCCCTTGAAATCTTTCTGACATCAAAACTGCAATTCGACTAGCTTGGTGTGCAGAGGCAAGAAAATAGGCAAGGTCTGTACTTCTCTCTCAAGCTCTCCTTTTTCATTCTTCGATAAAACTCCTTTTGCCTTGTTGTGTTTACATCACTGTGCTACGATCACAACCATCACTTATCTCCGTTTGTACAGTTCATTGCATCCCAGCCCTCTCTGTGACAGCTGACTTTTTTTGCCGTGCCCTCGAGTGTGACCGCTCTGAGCAGGTATCAACACTTCTTTTCCTGAACGCTAAAGGTGCAAGCACAAGCAGCAAATTAGCAGTACCAGCAGTAGCATGGGCTTCCACACAGGAGGTGTTCAGGCGCAGTGCTGAGCTGGAGGTCACCGTCGTTTTGGCAGCACTCCGAGCCCAACACACAATCGCTTTTGTTACACGAGTAAACCGCCTGAAAGTAGACTGGAAGCGTAAAAATATGCTTTGCTTTGCATTCATTGAAATTAGTACACAGGTTGCAGTGCCCCTGTAGACAGCTGGATTGATCAGAAAAGGAGCGTATCAGACATACATGAGATGGACAAGTGAAAAACATGCTTTCTGTGTTAATGGTTGTCACGTGTCAGCTCCTGCGAAACAGTTCATTTCGGGCATATTCCAGCTTTTATTGAGCTCTTTCAGGCAAAGGCTGTCTTTAAGCTTGTCTTCTTCTAAGGGTTTGTGGGTGTTGTGTCTTTTCATTTGGAAAAATGATTTATCAAAGTCAAAAGTGATAAAAAACAAATAGTCTCGCTCCTGTTAAATTCAATTAGACTGATCAGAGACACTCTAATTTAGTTGATATTTTCAAACACTCTCCTTCAAACTAGGTGCATCTATTAGATTTTCACAGAAGGCATCTACGAGGCTTGTATGTATGTGATTTGTGAACCGTGAGATGATTGGTCACGTACATACATGCACGCACACACTTTCACTTCATGATTCAGCTTCCCACTAAACTCCGCAAATGTATTGTCGAGTGCTTTGTTTCACAGTTGCGAAATGAAACAAAAGCAATGAGTGTCGTGATGAGCAAAACTAACTCCGGTAATCCCCGAAGACATCTGAGTTCAGTTCATTTTTAAGTACCACACTTGTATCTCCAACTGGCACAGATTGCTGTGGGTATACAGAGTACGACGGAGTTTAAATATTGTTTCAGAGGCCTCTGCAGCCTGCCAAGGTAAATATCTAGGGAAGAGCTGTTGCGGTATAAACCTTGTACCCACAAAGAAAACAAAATTATAGCCAAGGCCTCAGGTTTTTTCCGCAGATCATAAACAAACAACCAAACAGACATCAGGGCATCTGTTTGTCTTCCTCCCCAGGATGCCTTGCTGCGGCTGGCGGCGGTTGTCGACGCACGCTCGCTGCGAGCGGCCCTTCGAGACAGCATACAGGAGCTGCTTCCCTGCACGGTATGTTCGCACACACAAACACACACACACGTAAACTCTAAGTGAATATAATTGAAATTTCCTCAGTTTATTACCGAGAGAAAAAAAAAGCTTCCTGTTATTATTGAGCGTAGAGAAAACTTATGTCTCAATCCTGACCTAGGATCAGGGAACCGAGGCCTGAGCTTTGTCACTAACGGATGAGGCTCGTCGCTCATTAAACTAATTATAATCTGATTCATCTGTGCATGTGTGTGTGTTTTATTACAGGAGTGTGTATGCGTCTACATGCTGGGAGACTCGAGGCTGCTGTCAGACGACCCGCCGCATGAACTGCCACAGGACGGAAAGATCAGGTGTGTGCAACGTTTGTGTGTCTCTGTGCAGCGAGTCACAGATGTTTGCGTCTCAGTGAATCAACGCTGTGTTACTGATTTGCTGCGGTGTTGCTGAGGATGGCGATACCTAGAGAGGCAATAGAACAAGGGGGGAGATGAGGAGGGGAAACAGAGGCGGCTGTTTCCTCTGTGTGGAAAAAAAAAAAACAGATGCCACCTGAATGAATATGAGCCACTCGGTCCAAAATCACATCATCAGCACAGAGACAAAGATGTCAGAGTGAGAGATCTCATCATCAAAAACCACAAGGACCTTATCTGTCTCTCTCATCCTTCCGTTTTTACCACCTCCTGCTTTTTTCCTCCTCCATCTCTATTCTCATTAAACCTTTTATTTTTCCCTCTCATGAAACATCTCTCTGACAGCCTTCTTTCCTCTTTTGTCGTCTGCTGTTCCACCATCCCACCTCACTGGATGAATGTGCCCTCTTCTCCCGCTCAGCCAGCTCTTTCCCCTCAGAGAGCCACAGAGCCCTAATCCAGCTGTGTTTCGGTTATTCTACCCGCATCTTCCTCCTTCCCCCTCTCCGGGGCTCCTCTTTCTCTAACACCTTCAATCCCTCTCCCTGTGGAAGCATTGCAGGCCTAATAGCCGAGGTGACGGTGCCCTCGGTGCCTCAGTGAGACACGGCAATCCTCTCTTCTCTTTAAGTGCTCTCTGAAGCACTACAGCCCCGTGTGTTACTGCCAATACTACATTATTGATGAAACTGTCTGTTTGTCAGACAAGGAACCTGTTTGCTACACCTCATTGCCACACAAACGCAGGATCCTACACAAACATGCCGATGAGAGACAAACATGCAAGGACAAAAGCACAGAACACACACACACACACAAACACACACACATTTGTGCAACCAGTGCACTCACACTCATACATGCTTGCACATGCATTTGTCAGGGCTGCATACAGACTAGATGTAGTGGGGATATTAAAAGACCTACAGGGCACTGTTACTTTTCTCCCTCCAATTCACCTGCTTATATAAGCCTGTTATCAAGACCTTGGTGCGCGCGCACACACACACACCCACACACACACACATGCGCGCATACTAGTCCACACAAACATACTCAATGAACCCTATCTGTGCGGTAGAAGACCGTGTTGTTCAAACCTCATTCTAGCCTACTTTCTGATACGTACAAGCACATTAACCAGACCTTGAAACACACAAAAGATGCACAAACAATTTCAGCCAAGACAACTTCCACAGTTGTTTATCTTCTAAACTTTTTGCTGCACAAAAGATAACTGAACACTCAAAATCAAGCAAGCTATTGTTGGAAATACTGCAGAAGTGCACAGAGGAAAAACCATACAATGATGAACACATGCAGTTGCTGAGTGTTTTCTTCTTCTTCTTCTTCTTCTTTTGTAGGTTAGTTTTATTTGCAGTAAACTTTGATTTTGTGAAAAGGATTAGTCACATTTAACTTGACGCAGATGTTCATGATTCGATGTTTTTTTATTTTTATTTGTCAAAATGCTTTTAACAACTTTTGTTTTGTAGGATTTAATCATTGTTAAGAAGTAAGCATTCAGATAGTTCAAAAATCTAAAACTCAGCCATCTTAATTTAAAGTCTATGTGAAGTGTTCTGAGCAGTAACCACCCAGTGAAATTTAAATAATTGGAAAAACTGACAGCTATATGAAGTGTGGAAAAAATAAGCAGTATTCTCTGCTTTGGCCTCTCACAAATCAGCCCAGAAGAATTGTACCAACATAATATCTTCACCGCATGTATTTAAAGAAAGACGTACTTACCCACAAATAGTCTGAATTAGCTCAGAGTTTCTTTAGATTTGTACTGTAATCAATTATCAAATACTTTTTTCAGACAGGAACATGAAGCCATTAGCACCACCCAAAATCAATTAATGATGGGTGTCAACTGCACACATGGACACACATTACTGTGCCTAACTAGTCTGTGTAAATGTCCACCTCTAAGTACTGATGAAGCTGGCCGTTGCTACTGTCCACTGCTGCAAACTGTAAGCACACCTGACACCACTCCAGCTCTGACCTATATGTTACTGCATGTGAGCCATTGTTCCTGCTAACAGCTGTTACCTGGCCGGCAGGTAACAGCATTGTACTGCAGGCAGGTTTTGTGAAACTTTACTTGACCTATTTTTGTCACACAGCAAACATAAATGTTATCATCTAACACGTATATCGTCACGTGTGCACAGATAATACAAAATAACGGCATTGTTCCTGCTGCTCCCGGGTCATTTGTTTTGCTGTTTGCTGTGCCCAAAATGAATTGGCTGCATGATCACGCGGGAAACCTGCTTTGAACAAATACATTACACAAAGGTCAACTGTATTTGCCACAACAATAAAATACAATGGGAGTGTTTTTTGGCTGAAGTGGACTATTTCTCAGTGAGCTGAAATAAATGGACACTTTTAAATCAGTGCACCATGCAGAGATTTGGCTGCAACGGTTTGAAGGGATTTCAGACTCTGTGAGCGTGTAATAGAGTGACTACAGCTCTGTGTGTGTCTGTGTGTGTGTGTGTGTCCGTGTGCATGCATAGCTGCCAGAGAGTTCAGTTGATTATGTGAAGCACACACATTGAATTTACCTGTGTGTATGAGTGTAACTATTTCGCTCCTTTTTTTTTT